ATTTACATGAAAAAGATAATATATTTTTAGAAAATTTTTTATATATGGATCAGGAAAAAACTATATTACATTGTATGTTTTAAGAAATGTGCCATATGTCTATGCAACAAAGAGTGGCTAGGGAATTTCAGAAGTTGCCAATGGTTACAATTTAGTGTTACTTATCACAGTTAAGAAAAAACTATTTCAGGTTGTTCTCATTTTGATCATGTCTCAGGGCTGTTTTCACTTTCAAGAACAATGAACTATTTAAAATTGTTTATTTTTGTATTCTTACTAAATCGTATATATAAATATGTAAAATAAATAAAGGAGAAGTCAAATATTGGATCATAGTGCAAATTGTTGAAAAAATGCATGTACATTTATTTCTACATATTTATTTGTAATGTGTTTGACAGGCATTAGATTTTGAACAAATTTGATACATTGATGTTGATTGTTGTCATGAACATTGTCTTTGTTACTTGATGCAACCTAATGATGTAAACAATTATGTAGTATTCTAATCTGTTGATTTGTAAAATGAAGCTTTCCCAAAAGTATATATATAAGTACACAAACTATTTTATTCGATAATCATCTTTCTGATAACAGGTTACAATAACTGCTTGAAAAAGTTATGGCGGTTGGTACTTGTTTCATGTAATAGAATGAGATGTATTGTGATATGTTTCGCGGGCATTGTTCTATTCTCTTTGCTGTATGTCACAGTTGTCTGTTCCTGTACTTAGTGTCAATTATTTGAGAAGGTATTTGTTGTCTAACATTTTTTATTAAATATACAAGAAATTACAATAATTTTAATGAGAAATTTACTATTTTCAATACCACAAGCATACAAATCAGGACTTTGTTATACTACATTCACAGAGGACATTCAATTATGCCAAACTAAATTTCTAATAATCCTTTTTATTTGTATTTTGGGGGGGGGGTTCTTTCTTCTGCATGTACATGTTAGCATTTCCTATTTATTAAAGATTTGTAACTTACTCTAGTATATATATATTATATATAGCATTCTCAATCGTACCTTTTTTTAACTTCTTGTAATTTTAATGTTATAAATATTTTGTAAGATTTGTTATTATGTATGTTTTTGAAGTCTTGGCATTCTGAAAAATAAGTACTTGTTACCTGAGTACTTACCAGGGATAACGAAAAACAAAATTTGATGATAGCTATATATAATATTCAGTATTTAAACGTACTTTCTTTTATGTAAAATTATTGGGCTACAAGATGTTTATATATATTTTATATATAGGAGTTTCAACTGCTGAACTTTTCGCTTTGAATACTTTTCAGCACAACCAAAGTGCAATCTATATGTGTACATTACTAAATGTAATCTGAAATGTATGAATAGCTTTTAAGCAATATACTAAGCATTGTATATTGGACTGGAGACTGTTTATACATTGCAGTGTGTGTTGATGGTGTCATATCATGTTATATCAAGAATAAACTAATTGCTTGTACGTGAGAATTACGTGAGTCTTCGAATTGTGTATTTATTTGTCACATATTACTATTTATTTTCCTACATGTGTGGTATAGACGCATTCGTATTAATACATTATTTATTTCCTGGCGATTTGTTCAATTCTCAATTTTTAGTGAATATTTTCGGTAAAAAATGCTATTATCGACTTCTCGAAAACTAACAGCTTGATTGCTTTGGTACTTTATATGTAGGATCCATGATCTCCGTGAGATTTGTAACAAGATAGTAATTGCCATGGCAATACTATACACAAGTCAAAAGTCCACTGAATCAATCAATACGTCCTATTGAAACCAGCTGACGATGTTTTCCACAAATTAAACACACTTGTGATTTTCATAGTTTTGTACTTCTGTGTGTACCATCCTTATACTTCGATAGGCAAATCAAAACACAATTTCACCTGCTCAATTTGCACGAGTTATTTAAACACATGAAAGTACGCACAAATTCTGTTTGTGATACAAGTGAATGTTGTTTTTTAATTGTAGCGTAAAGGCAGACAAACTGATATAAAGTTTGACTTACTATTTTGAGTGAAGGGTTCACCATTAGAAACTTTGCGAGAAGAGCTACTGTGCACATATATTTTCATCTCTGTATATAGTCATGCGTGTAACCTGTATCACGTGATACGCAGGGTTGCCTGGCTTTGAAAATCACATCAGTTTAATCTGCTTGTTTTGTTGTGTTTTTTTTCTTTATTATTTATTAGGTATCACATATTAACACACTGACAGTCTAATCGATGAAGTTTGAGTACTGAGTTCTATATCATAATTAACCCATAAAACCCCTTACTGGTAGACTACACAATACAGTTGAATAATGAGAATGAAGGGTGATATAAAAAAAAAATGTAGATTGCATTTGCCCACATTTGTAGAGCTCTGTCAATTGGGAGCATTATGTTCTTTGTCTTGACATTTTCTTTAACATACATATATGCACTTACATTTGAATTATTGAAACTTTTAAATATAGATATTATTTTTCCGAATATACACATCAATGAAATGGTAAACAAAATCTGGAGAGTACCAGACATGATATCATGGTATTCAGGATCGACCAGAGCACAAAATATGTATTTCATTTATTTTCATGCAATTATCCACTCCCAAGTAAACTCTCCATGAGCCTATGTTACGTGATAGTTTGCGTTTACATATCTATCACACTGTGATAATGTCATTATGGCAATAAGATAGTTTCATAACCGTGTCGTGTATTCCAGCATAGAAGTACAACACCTCATTAGATTTACTTACGTGCTTGTAGCAGATGTGCACACCTGACAATACAATCGTGATATACTTTCCTAACTGCACAAGAAGAAAACACAATAATGCAGCGTAACAATGTATGTTCAAGATATGCAAATCTCAAAACTATTTATTGATGTAAATCATATTTTAATAAAGCGTTGTTTTATCATATATAGTTGTTTCCGATTTCGTGAGTATTTAATATATCATTTATCGATTTGCCGTTTGTCTTTATTGTCTACATAACTCCAAGCAGGGTTGTCGTAATATCGCTTTTCTTCCTCGAATGAATCATCAACCTGGTCCACGTCAAACGACCGACCTTTGTGGCGTCGTCGATGCTTCGGACGTTTATACTGTAAATGGAAAAAAGTGGATCACTGGGAAATTTTTAGATTCCGAAATGAAATGGAGAATGGGTGAAAATTTGCAATTTTACTAAGTTTGCTTGGCCACACGAAATGAAAAAGTCTTATATTATCCAGATACGAATCATATTATTAACACATGGGACAACATGACTTAATTTAGTTTAATATTTATAACAAAGATACACATACGTAAAAACAACAAAACAATTAGTTTTACTGGTTACTGCCCATAATATACCCACCAGCCAGCGGCCTTCATACAGAGTTGTAGTGCAATCAGAACGTTTACAGCATGTAAATGCACGTAGATACCATTCAATCGGTGGCATCCACTAATTTATATGCATATTTATATATATCAATATGTTTTTCAGTTTTATCATTACTCATTAGAATCATCCAAATTTGCCCTTGCTCCACATTACTGCGGTCAACATTAAAATAGCACATTGACTGCGTTACTAGAGCATACTGGGAAATTGGTACTATTATGTAACACGTTTAACGGTATGAATGTGCGCGAATCACGGAAAACAATTGAAGTTTCCTCAAAGTTGCACTTGTTCTGTATTGTTGTGGTCCACATTAAAATAACACACTGAGAGTATTCCTGTGTTGACGTATGAGCGTTATTATGTGAAATATGTAATTGTATGGAGGTGCGCGACTTATGGAAAACAAATATCGATGAATTTCCGAATTCAAATTTTTAAGGAATGAGTTCAGAGTGAAAATTTCATACCGGAGTAAATCAACCAATGTTACGAATTTTCAGTAAAGGTCTTAAATATATGTTGCTATATTTACATGAAAATGTTAAAATGATGCTAGAATGACCCCATTAATGTTAGACAGATTATAAGTTGTCCCTAACAACAAAATTATCATGCGTTATTCGATTCAAAATGTAATAATTAGAAAAGACTTACTGATGTTGCTTCTACATTGACTGTCTCTGCTATTATGATTGCAGTTACAAGAATGACAGCAAGATATTTGGAGTTCATATTGCCTCGTTTGTATCACACAGTATTTTGTACTGCAATTAAAACAACATTATTTTGTATCAATTATAATTCTGATGGATGCTAAGGTAAATAGCAATAGCATATGTTTGCATGTAACATAATTCTAAGCAAAAAATGGCCCTACCACGGCAGAAAAACACATTTTCATGCAAGGTGGTATGCAGGTTTACATGATATTACATACTTACTGTGACAATAACCGACGTGTTACTCCAGAGTAGCGAATGTGTGTGCACTGCGTCATAGTCGTCAAAGGTTTATATAAGTTGTAGAATTGATAACGTAAATATCGCTACACAGAAAGATGGAATGTAATCCAGGTATTGTGTAATGCATTGGATAATATTTCTCTCGTCAAGAAGATATATGACATCGATGTAATTAATATGTTTTTGTTTCGATATTTTGTGTTCCCTGGGCAATTAGTCAGAGTTATGACCTTTTTATATAATGAATATTGTGTTGGTTGGTTTAGGGATTCCATTATTTTTAATACGAATCAATACAATGACATAGAAGAGAACCTATAATGGATCGATTAAAAATATTTCAACGATAACATCAAACCAATATATGTCGCCATATTATTTTTGTAATGGTGTTATCGTTTCGGGTAAAGTGAATTACGAATAAGGTCCTAATTATTATAGCTAAACATATATCACTAACTAGCATGCCAGGTTAAAAGTGGTACACGAAGCCATGAGCAGTGTGCTGCTTAACGTCAAATCAAGTATGTATTTGGGATTCACTGAATTAAGCACCATTTGGGTATGATGAAAGGGTATTTTTTGTTTTGTTCTTTTTTTCACAACTTCGTACAGTGTGTATAGTCAAGCATTGATCTCTATGTAACGTCTGCAACTTGCTAGAAGTTTATAATACTTATTGAATTGAAAACGTAAATATCGATACGAATGTAGAAAGGATGTCACACAATATTGCAGTAGCTACACACAGGATACACAGTAGAAATGATGGACCCCAACTGTCCTTAGTTTTTCCAATTTATAGGCATAAATGGCCCAGACTGAGGACAGTTGTGGTTCATCATTTCTACTGTGTATCATGTGTGTAGCTACTGGGATATTGTGAGACAAGTGATACAGGCTTCAACCATTATTCTGTGAGACTTGTATGAACTGCTCTGCGATCTCCTGCTTTCAGTTGTGTCCTTCAGAATACCAGCGTTTCTCTGTAAGCAAGATTCCTGTATTTCTTCGTTGTTGTATTGCAGACGTCATTGAATGTCATCCATTTCTACATCCTGGAACTGTGAGTTATCACCAATGCTCACTTCCCTATTTTAGTGAATTTATTCATTGTATTTTTCTGTGCTTTGTTTCGTGTAATTATTTTGAGAGGTATTACAGCCAGGAGCTTTAACTTGATACTTTGATGTATGTGTAATTCATTTCAAGTACTATTGTCTTGTCTACCCCATACTAGCAGTGAAAGAACCCCCTGTCCAGTGTGAGTTCTGTGGGCGGCCCTCTCAATTGCAATAAGCAGGCCTTACACTGTGACAGAGAATGTAAGCCAGGCATTGGGCAATGCATCGGAAATATATTCATTCATCCAGAAGATATTGCCGTAATTAATAATTTATTTGTTTCAATATTTAGTGTTTCTGGGGAAATGAATTGCTATTATAGTGTAGGGTATTGTGTTGATTACGTATTGCATTGTGTTTATGGACTATTCTCACTATTATATACAATTAAAACAATGATAGGAACGAGAATCCAACACGTAAATATGATATATGTAATGTTTGCTACATTATTTGGTAGGAGTCATGGATACACCTTTCCAGAATATGTTGGTCAAAATATCTACTGTGCCCATGTATAATCCATGTTATGGGGTTAGTTAACAGATAAGTGCTTTTCAGTGAATGCGTTGACATGTGCGTATAAATCCGTTCCTGAGCTCCTTGTACAGACGAATGTAAATATCATATCCGCCGTAAGTGGGCGGAAGGAATGCGAGCCACTGAACTGTTTTAAGTTCGCCCTGAAAGGGCACGACACAACATAATAATAGTACAAGGCAACTGAGTGATAGTCTTCTGCTTACCTTGCAGCTCTTTAGATGCAGAATGAGAAATGTGTAATATGTATGGAAATTATATTATTGAATTACGTACCAAGGAGGGCAAGATGTAAAAAGACGTTGAGGTGATATATTAAGGGAAATACAATTTAATTTGAATATAGTCACAAAATATCTTATCAAGCACTTAACCTAGAATGTTATTTGTCTTTGCGTGTCTAGCCAACAGGACATTTTCCATGACGTTTATGTTTCGCTAACTGCAAGCAGACTAGCCAAATCAAATATTTATCAGGTAAAGAAGTTGTGGTATAGTCATTTATACACCCAAGAATTCGTCGAATTCCATCGTACTCGAATCTTGGATAAGGGCGAATAGTGCGGAGACATGGGGAGGGGGGTCTGAAAGTATGAATGGACTATATTATAGCGCGGTAGTCGTCGCGCTGCGCATGTGCGACATTTGTGTTGATAAATATTGATTTTCCCTCAATACAATGCGCTCTTCAAATGGGAATCGCAAGAATGAGGTCTGACCTGGGCGCGACTTGCACTGATTACCGCCGGTGACTTCTTCGATATCTTCCAATTACATGAAAATTACCTAATTAAAGCTTGGAAACGTCTCAGTCAAAGTCGCCATCTTTGTTTATACGAGACCCATATATCTCGCACATGAT